GCATTCAGCATGAGGTCCTCTCAATGCTGCAATTATGACTTATGGAACATTTGGGCTGTCCTTAAAACGTAGCCTGAAGTTATTTGGTGGGACTCTTATAAAAAACAAAGCTGCCTTGTGATTAGAAACATTTTCTCTTGCAAACATCAGAAACATAGCCTGTAATAATAAACTACCATAGTTATAAAGCTTGCCTGGGGTTGAAAATGCTGCCACATTCTCGCTAGGGTTTGAGCTCTAGAAAGTGTGCTGTAGCTGACAATAAGATTGGAACCTTAGCCTTGGACTTCAGGTGTCAGGAAAGTAATTTCTGGATCTTGTAGGTATTGCTTCTTTGTACCTCAGGGTTTTTTTTGTTGTTGTTGTTTTTTGTTTTAATTCTCACCTGAGGATATTTTTCCATTGATTTTTAGAGAGTGGAAGGGAGAGTGAGAGGCAGAGAGAAACATTGATGTGTGAGAGACACATTGATTGGTTGCCACCTGCCTTCACTGCAACCAGGGCCAGAAACCTGCAACCAAGGTATGTGCCCTTGACCGGAATCGAACCTGGGATCCTTTAGTCCGCAGGCCGACACTATCCACTGGGCCAAACCCGCTAGGGCTGTATGTCGGTTTTCTTAAATGTAAAGTGGGAGCTCTGTAGAGTTAGTGGCAACGGGTTGGGGAAAGGATGAGCACAGAGAGGAACATCAACATTTGTTTAGCTATTTCTCCATGTTAGGCATCCACATAACTTCCAATTCTCACAACTTTATGAGACAATGTAGGAGAAAGTACATTTTAAATTACAGGGACAGAATACAAATTGTAAGGTGCACAAAAAAGAGTTTGGAACTATTTCCCCTTTGACTATATAGTTTATAGATTCTCAATAAAAGATCCATAGTCTTTGAAAGAATATGGTATAACATAGAAATGCACACAAGTAGTTTTTGCTACTTTTTTATGGTCTTCACTGTAATCCATTCGTTCAGGTTTTTCTAGTTTGTCAAGTTTGCACTCTTTATTCCACTTGCTGATCAGATACACTTTTAGCTTCCAGGAGCATAAACTAGCTTGAGCACTTGGCTGGAAGAGTGAAAAGTCCAGTGGACACAGTGAAAGGAGGCATCTTCATGATTCAGAAGGGCGAGGATGGGTGGGTAATAGACAGGTCAGGACTTGTGAGGGTGGAGTGAACACTAGAAATGGTTTCTATGAGGAGTGGTTGTGATCAGCATTTCCTCTGAAGAGAAGGGGACAGCAGTCTCGTACAGACACCCAAACAGCCTAGATATATGTGAGTCTCTTTAGAGTAACTTGGCTCCTTTCACAAAACTTAACACCCAGGAATCTCCTGCCGAGGATCCCTTGTCAGGCAAGTCCTTGTTGGGAATTGAACCTGGGACCCTTCAATTCTCGGGCTGATGCTCTATCCACTGAGCCAAACTGGCTGGGGCTAAGGTAGAATAGTTTAGAATTTTTTACTGTCTGACTTTTCATGTATGTCTATATTTTCACCAATAATAATGCCACGATGAACTTTATTATGCCTAAAACTTGCTTTATATTAGCTCAACATATATAAAAATATTTTTCGGATACATACTGTTAAACTGCTTTCTAAAATTATTATACCAACTTACACTCTCACTGACAAGGTATAAAATTTCCTATTTAATTCCACATTTGCCAGCAATGTTTTTAATGTTAAAAATAAGTCATGTCTAATCTGATAAACAAAATGGTTTCTCACTATTTGAATTTGCATACCATACTGGTGAGGTTGACATTTCCTCTCATACATATGAATTTATTATATTTCTTTGGTGAGATATCTGTGTTCTTGAGTTCCATAAATGTTTTTCAATTTATATAACACAGACATTATAATAAAAATTATTCCTTGGTCTGCCATAAAAATGTGTCTTTACATTTTGATTATGACTTTTTGAATGACATCCAGACTTTCTATGTACTTTTGCTATGAAATTTGCTCATCATTCCTACTATGATTTCTCTTAACTTCTAGGTTTAGGTTTTTAAGTCTTCAAATTCTTGAGAAAAAGTCTAAAAATACATATTCTTATTTTAGTATTTATGCTTAACTCCCCAATGAACCTTAAATTTATTTTTTTTAAATATATTTTATTGATTTTTTACAGCGAGGAAGGGAGAGGGATAGAGAGCCAGAAACATCGATGAGAGAGAAACATCGATCAGCTGCCTCCTGCACAACCCCCAACTGGGGATGTGCCCGCAACCAAGGTACATGCCCTTGACCGGAATCGAACCTGAGACCTTTCAGTCCGCAGGCCGACGCTCTATCCACTGAGCCAAACCAGTTAGTGCCTTAAATTTATTTTTTACATGGTAATATAAAAGCTTTTCAAATTTTTACCAATTGTCTAATGCCAGTCACTCAAAATTTCTCTAATATAAGGAAATACCATTGATTATTGATGTTTTATTGATCACTTATGAGTTTTTAAATAGAATATTTGAAATTATAGGTATAGACTATCACAGTGCTGCTTGTGTGATTCTTGACCCAGCATGTACTATTTTAATTACTGCAACTTTTTTTTATTTTTTAGTACAGATGGCCCTTTGCATTATTTTCCTTTAAAATATTATAATTTTTTTATTGCATTTTTTATGCCAGATGTGAGAAGGAAAGGGAGCACTTTATTTTGTGTGACATGGTCATGATGTCCCCCGCCCCCCGCCTCCCCCCGCTCCCCGCCGCATCTACTAAATTGATTCCTATGGCTTTCCAAATGTTGGGAGAGGAATCAGCCAGGCTGTTCTCAGCGCCACGAAAGCATTTCACGTGAAAGGTAGTAGATCCAACAGCTATTCTCTGATTAAATAAAAGGAAACCTTCATGGTTACACATATTGCAAAGAAGATGGAAATAGAATGAAGGTGACTCCTTTACTGTAATCTCTTGGTATACTACATGTGATCCAGTAGCATAGATGCAAATCACTAATCCTTGTCATTGTTTCGTGGCCACCTCACAAAATGGCACTATCCAGCAAAATATTATTTAGTAGCAAAATATATTTTAATTGAAACATCATTTTCAGTAACTGAATAAAAATGTGTACCAGATACTTTCCCAATAGACAGCAGAGTATGTACATTTTGTGAGTGGAGCAGCATCTATTTAATATATTTTTATATAGAAAATACAGGCATATTTAAAAATGGAAACATGTAAGAAAGTACGTCACAAGAAGGAACAAAAGATAACACAAAATAAAAAGGTAAACCCCAAATAACATGTGTACTACACAAAACGAGACCCAGCACCGTGTTGGAATTTCTTTGCGTAAGTTCTGGGATGCCCAGGGCTACCAGGAAGAGATGACCCTGTTCTTAGGGAGAGCTCCTTGGTTGTGCAGTGGTTAAAACCCAGTCCTCCTTTTCCTGGAACAAAAAAACAGAGAGATTCAACAGAAAAGACTGAACTGAAGAGGTAATAGCCCCTTTGGGGTCAATTTGAACAGGATTGAAAGTCTCAGATACCTGGGCATTATCCATGGCGTTGTTTGTACTGATGGGAGTCATTCCTTGAGACAACTAAAGGGCATGAAGATCATGTGCTAACTCATGAAAAAATCCGAGAATCAGCAGACCCGGGTTTTAACCTTGGCTTTGTCTCTAGTTTCCTGTCTGATAACCTTCTCATCTGTAAACTGAGGGGTTTGGACTTCGTGAAAGGTCTCTTATAGCTTTCACAGTCTATAATTTTTATTTGTGGTATTTGTTTAGGATCAATTTTATGAAGAAGCACACAGAGATTGGGCAAACACAATCTCCTTTTTAAGGACTGAACTACCTGGGAACCATACCAGGTGAGTCTTATCCATTGGTAGAGAAGGTAACTGGTTGAGGTATTTAATTAATGCTACAGGGCATTTCTTCGCTGGCTGTCACAGATGCCCAGAAATCGCTCCATCTGTCAACAAACATTTGTTGAGCATTAATTTTTCTGCCTGTGCTAAGCACGAGGGATACAATCTTTTGCCTACTCAATCTCATGGGAGAGAAGAAAATAAAAAATGATTTGTAAACATTTATTGTTATAATTTCTCAGAAAAGCTTCCTCCCCTTCCCATTTCAGGGACTTATATTCCACCTTCTTTCCTCTGGGAACTGCCAGCCTCCTCTCCCCTTTACCCAAAGGTACGGTAAAAGTTTTGACAAGAAGACTCTTCATGTTAGTACGACATAGCCCGACCTAGGACCACTGTTGACTGACTGATTCATGGTTGGCCCCTGAATCCACCTGGACTAGTTCTGGATTTTTAAACTGGGTCAGCACACTGTTTCAGTGGATACAGTAGTATGACGTGTAAATGCAGGGGCTGCAAGCAGTTCTGTCCTTTCATGGGAACTGAACAGCAGAGAAAACCACTCTGCAGCAAGAGGAGGGAGGGAGTAGATGCTGGAGAGAGAAGGCGAGGCAGGAGGTGGTGAAGCTTCAGGTGGCTTTCAAGTCCTCAGTCGGCTCCTCCTGAGGTTTAGCCATCCATGTAATCGGGTTCCACGCAAGGCCCCTCAATTGTGACAACAAATTCCTTTCTTTGCTTAAGCTAGTTAGAGTTGCAATTAGAGAGTCCTAACTAATATGGATCTTCTAGAAAAACGGCTCACAGTATAATGGGCAGGGGGAGGGGGGGGGGCGGGGGGAGACTGCCCAGTCCTTGAATGTGGGATACACTTCCCAGCTTAATTTGCCATATATTTTTTGATTCCTTTATCAAACGTTTGCACAAAAATGTAATTTTGTTCTCTTTATTAGACAGTATTTTCACATAGGCTAAAAACCGCCCTTCCCCTTGTCAAAAAAGACTCCTTTGGGAGTATTTTGATGTTAGGAAACCACATAAACGCAGGCTTCCTTTTCTTATTTGAAGGAATTGAAATAGAAAGTCTAAAATTATAAGAATGTTATAAATAGTTCCTGTTCCTTTTTGAGTCACTGTAATTCTTTTTTTTTTTTTTCAATTTCTTGATCAATTTTCATTAAGAATCTGTTCCTATAAAGCATTTTACAGTATTTGTTTTACAGTACATTTGCTGCATATATGGTTCTTCACTTCATATTTCAGTAAAGATAAGTTATTTGTTTGTCAATGTTTCAAAACTTGATAAGGCCAATGGAGGGTTTGGATAGTAGCCAGCTGTTTTTGAATTGTTTGAAGAGAATCTTGTAAATTTGTAGTCCAGGGGTAATTCTGCTATAGCTTCAATACTTGGAATTGCAATAGTGCTGTAAGTACTGATTCTCTTACAGGACCACGTAGAAACCAAAGAGTCTTCTGTATTTTCCAGTCCCGAAATGGAATCAGTAAAAAAAGAGCCCCATTTTTTAGATAATGAATATAGAGGCTTTCCCTTCTGTCCCTCATATTTTCCTTTCTTCTCTAGGGGCTCTGAGTCCTCAGGCTTCCAGTCTCTGTCCCCTTTGAGCTCTTCCAGGATGAGGACTGTCTCCCAATTGCTATAATGACGGGCTGGGAAAATATCTGAATGCATGCTGTCACCAAAGTACACAACCTGGGGCTCAGGTTTGCCAGTCATTTTCTTCAGCAGGTCATAAAGGTGCACAGCGTTCCCCTGGGAGTACCAGCCAGGTTTCTCCAGAGACGGCAGGGCTTCCTGCTCCTCGTCATTCTCAAGTGTCCGGAAAGGTCTTTGACTTGGTAAATGGGAGAAGAAACCAGGCTTCAATGCATTTGTAATCACAATGTCAAAAAGATCTGCAAAATCATTCCCCAGGATATGGTTGCAGAGAAGTCTACAGTAATCACTGTGAGAACTGGTGATTAATACAAGAATTTTCCTAGCATTCTTCAGCTGTCGAAGCCATTTTTTTACAGATTTAGGACAACTGTGTAAATACTTGCCTGGATCTCTTTTTATTTCTGGAAAATATATCCCACAGTTTTCCCTAAAAGCTGACATCTTATAATTGTGTTGAATACCAGCAACTATATCCTTCCAAAAATCAAATGTTTTCTGACCGTTGTTCTGCTTTGTTAAAGAGTCCACCACTCTGGCACACAGAAGAGCTCCTGGCAGGTCAAAGTAGTTATCATAAAAATAATACTTTCCTGATCGGAAAGCCATCCCAGTGTCAGACATGAAGTACTTCCACTCCTTCCCGCCGTACTCCTTGGCCAGCTCCTCGGGGGCCAGCATCCTGGTGCCGTGGCTGGCCCTGAGGACGGTGCCATTATCTGCAAGTTTAATGAAGTTTCCATCTTCCAGATCCAAGGCCAACCCCTTGCAACAGAAGTCCCAGTCCTCTGGAGTCACAGTGAGCAACTCCTTGTCATATCCTTTCTCCTTGACCAGGAACTGAGCAAAGCTATCATAAATGAGCGGGGCGCTCTCGGGCAGGTTGTAGCGACACAGAGTGTGGTCCAGGTCGAAGCCAACCACGTCGCAGGCGGCCAGGGAGAAGTGCTGAGCCATGGCTGCGCCGGGAGGACCGCAGGGCGCCTCGGTGCCGGAGAGCTCGCCGGCCAGACGCTGCCGGACGGGACCCGGCAGGACGCGGCGGGCCACTGTAATTCTTATTCCTTTTACTTTCTCTCTCCTCTTACTTTCCCCAGAAATCGATTTCAGTTTGACTCTCATTTTTTTGTATCATTCAACTCTATTCTCAGATGAAAGTATCATCTTTATCTTGGAAGCTTCTATATAGACTTGTACACTCCAAGCTTGCTCTTTAGGGTTCAGTTTATTTTTTCTCTCTGCAGAGATGGCATATGCTTGAGATGATATGAGGACATTCATTGGCACAAGATGGATTTTTTTGTTAATTAAGTTTTTATTTAAATAGATTATTGTCCTTGAAAGTTGACTTTGACATTCCAATCAAAATAAAATAAAAGGAAATGAAAAAGAAGAGTTGTTTTCAATTAACTAAATTTCCCATTTTTAAAAATGAATATGCTCTTTGTTTTCAATGATTCCTATAAGATTGAAGTAACTGTACATTATACAAATCTAAATGATGTAATGCAATAGTGCATTTTGAAAGTCATAAAATAGAGCTGGTACTACTCCAACATTGCAACATTTTTATATTGAAAATATTTATCCATGGTATGATGACAATTTAGTTGATATTTCTTGAGGTTTAAAACAGTCAAGAAAGAAGAACAACGCTGGAAGCATTATGTTTCTGATTTCAAATGATATTACAAAGCTATAGTAATCAAAACAGTATAGCATTGCCATAGAAGCAGATACATAGATCAATGCACAGAAGAGAGAACCCAGAAATAAATCCAGGCACACATAGTCAATTAACTTATGACAAAGGAGCCAGAATCTACGATGGGGAAAGGATAGTCTCTTCAATAAATGCTACTGGGAAAACTGGATGGCATGTGTAAAGGAATGAAACTATGCTATACCATACAAAAAATTAACTCAAAATGAATTAAAGAAAATATGGGCAGTAAGCTCCTTGACATTGATCTTGGCAATGATTTTTTTGGATTTGATACCAAAAGCAAAGGCAACCCAAGACAAATCAACAAGTGGTACTACATCAAACTAAAAAGTTTATGCACAGCAAAGGAAACTATAATAAAAAAAGAAAAGGCCACCTACTGAGTGGGAGAAAATGTTTGCAAATCATGTATCTGATAAAGAGTTAATTTCCAAAATATATAAAGAACTCATACAACTCAACAACCAAAAATCGAACAATCCAATTAAAAAAGGGGCAGAGGATCTGAATAGACATTTTTCCCAAAGAGGACATACAGATGGCCAATACACATGAAAAGATGCTCAAATTACTAATCATTAGAGAAATGCAAATTAAAACCACAATAAGGTATCACCTCACACATGTTAGAATGGCTATTATAAAAAAGACAAAAAATAACAAGTGGAGAAAAGGGAACCTTGTGCATTGCTGGTGGGAATGTAAATTGGTGTAGCTACTATGAAAAACAGTAGAGAGAGTCCTCAAAAAAATAAAAATAGAACTACCATAAAATCTAGTAATTCCACTTCTGGAATATTATTCAGCCATAAAAGAGAAGAAAATATTGCCATTTTCAACAACAATGATGGATCCTGAGGGCATTATGCTATCTGAAATAAGTCAGAGAAAAACAAATACTGTATCACCTCACTTAAGTGTGGAATCTAAAACAAACCAAAAAATCAAAACCAAACTCATATACAAAAAACAGATTAGTGGCTGCAAGAGGTGGAATGAAGGAGTGGAAGGTTGGTGAATGGAATAAGAAATCAAAAGGAACAAGCATCCTGTTGTAAAATAAATAAGTCATGGGGATGTAATGTACAGCATGGCGACTATAGTTAATAATATTGTGCTGCATATTTGAAAGTTAAGACAATAAATCTTTTTATCTGAACAGTTCTCATCAAACAAAAAAAAAACCATTTTGTAACTATGCATGGTGATAGATGTTAACTAGATTTATTATGGGGATCATTTCACAATATATATACAGATATCAAATCATTATGTTGTACACTTGAAATAATGTAATGTTGTATGTATGCCAATCAACAATTTTTTTAGAAACCTTAAATTATTTTTTAAACTATTTCTCCTTTGACTTATTTTTATGATGATCTTTTCTCAATTATATTTATCTAATTTGATATTAGAAACCAATTGACAGAACATATATTTACATAACATTTTTGTAGCCAATTACATTTATTTTTGTTGTAACCAGGAATGCAAATGAAGGTCAATAAATGTATTGAGTTTATTATTTACTTTACACCCCTGAGTGTAAAAAAATACAATCTTCTATTCAAGAAGGCAGTTGACTTGTTTAACCCTTTTTTTATGGAAAAATATGCAATGCTTCAATTTGAGTCATCCTTGTGTAGGGGTCAAGCTAATCTGCCCTGTATTATTCCAATTTTGGTACATGTGCGGCCAAAATGAGTACAAGATTATTTACTTTTGAGGCATCATTGTTTGTCAATCCTTAACTAATATTTCTTTGCGTTGGCTTTAGTTCAAATTTAGAGAGTGTATCTCACAGTGGACATTTTTGGATATAAAATGCTCACCCTCACACTAGAGATACCTTCTGGTTCTTGAACAACTTAACCTGAATTTCGATCTCTTTATGTTATTGATAAGCATTAGTCTTTGGTTGTCTTACCTGGAACAGTCATGTCCAGTCCAAGCTGAGAGACAATGGCATCGGTTTGGTCTTACGCATTTTCCACCATTTAAGCAGGGAGACTGGCAAACAGCTGGGATAAAAAATGCATGCATTTATTTAATCAGCACTTAGCAATCCTGAAGATGCCCATGAAAGCATGTAAGTAAGATTTGACTCTGTTTTCGTCTCCAGCCACCAACACTCCTCATAGACTGTTTGCATTATGCATTTCTGCCCCTTTGCTTGACCTCATGTCCTTCTGTGGCTCCACCTCCCTTTTTCCTTCCAAGCTAGTCATTTTCATATTTAAGTTCTAGGTTAAGTTCTACCTATGTATTGAAATCTTTGCTGATAACTTCAAGTCCACTGTTTTTTCTCTTCTTTAATATTTTTATTTATGTAACTAATTTGGCACATACTGTTTTGAACTGTGAACTTTTCATATGCTCAATTAGACTGTAAATCCCTTGAGGGAGCTAGCACTGAACTCTATGATTCAGTCATTACATCAGACATCAACTCATGACAATAAATCAGGCAAGAGCTTGTCTAAAATAACAGATGACTCAAAAGCCCTTGTGTTGGCTAGGAAACCTATTTCATGACTTTTACTGGCCTTAATTAGAATGATGGAACCTGGAGTAGAGTTAAAAATTAGCCACAGATGAAACCCTGAATGAACACTCAAAGATTTACTATAAAGACATCTTCCTTACAAATTCATAGTCTCATCACCAAACTCTTCACTTGCATGAGTCTATTTGTTAAAGAACCCTAGGATGCTAAAAACTGATAAAGACCCAACACCAGCAAGTTTAACGTATCAAAGAAAAAGGAGAACATCCTACAGGGAGGAAATGAAATGCCTGTTGAGAGAAATGAGAAACATTTCAGTTTCAATTTCAGCCTCATTATAGCTTGGAAAAGTAAGCTTCCCCAGATGAACAGTTCATCTTTGGTGAGATATAAATAGATGTACTTCTTTAATCATTCATGCATACAATATGGGGGGGGGGCATGTAGAATGCCAGCCAGTACCAGGCACTTGGGTGGAAGAGAGAGGACAAGAAATAAAACATTAGTCTATGTCCTTGGGGAGCTGTCTTGGTGAGTGAAGAGTAAGAGTGGGCCAACAGAATGCACATATGTGCAATACAGTAAAAGGAAAGTATGAAACAAAGCAGGCTTAAAAATAGTAAAAATGAAGCCCAATAATTTAAAACCAACTCTCCATAGATTCTGCGTACCAATATAAAAAAATATTACTCCTTTTCAGGAGCATGATGATATAATGGTGCCTGACTGTACTAAGCACTTACTTTCTCTTCCTTGTCTAAAAGCTTAACATCTTCCTCTTTCCCTTTAACATGGGAGCTCCCATTGGTCCCTTCTGAGCCACCTTCCCATGCCATGTGTCTTCTGCATAGTCTTATTCTTTTTCCCCATGAATTTTTTTCCAATGATAACCCACAAATTTCTATCTTCAGTATATATGTATCTTCTGGGAGCAATCAGCCACCTGCCTATCAGACCTCTCCCTTGTATGTTCCACAGGCTCCTCAAAGTGAGTCAATACTTAACTCCTTATCTAAACCTCAAACCTGCTCCTCTTGGGGTCTCTGTCTCAGTAAATGGCACCATCAGGGAACCAAACTGGAAATATCAGTGTTGACTCTGCTCAGACCTTTACTCCCACAATGAAACCTATAACTGAGTAGTGTAGATTCACCTCCCAAACTTCTCTCAAATCTATTTGGGTTGTCATTTCTCCAGACTTTATTACCTCTTGCCAATTCTGATTTGATAACTTCCTAACTGGTCTCCTTGTAAGTCATGCTTTTTGCCATTATCCATACTGCTGCCAAAATCATTTTTCTAAAAGAAAATCTGATTGTGATTTTCCCACTTAAAACCCTTCAGTGGCTTCTGCTGCTCACTAGACATGCTCCAGCATTTTGAACTTGGCACTCAAAATAAATATTTTTCTGAACCTCTGACACTAAGATGCCTGACAACTCAGTCAACTTAGCTGCTCTTCTCTGGCACATGACTCTGAAAGGTAACTTTGAGGCATTCGGATTCACCATTCGAGGGGCCATTTGAGGAATTCTTGAGAAACCCTGATACCCTTTCTTTCACTGCCACCTCGGAATCTGAGTCCTACTCATCAATGTCCTCTAGAACTTCAAGGAGCTAAGTCACCAAGACAACAAACCATGATAGGACGCCTACCTGTATGACAGCGGGACCCCGTCCAGCCAGGTGGGCAGTCACACTGATAAGGGGCCACACAGCGACCGCCATTCAGACAGGGAAGAATGCATATTGCTAGAGAGGAGATCAAAAACGATTTGATGAAAATACACACACTAAGATATGT